GCCTCACAATAACAAGAAGTCTGATTACAGAAAATGCATGTTACTCTGGGTTTCTACATGCCATGGATTAAATGAATTTACCAAAGGCAAAGACAAAGTAAAACAGTGGGTGGCTAGAGCTGGCACATCATGGACTTCTCTGCTTTATGTGATTCCTGCCCCGTCTCCTGGTCATGCTGTCACAGAGGATGCCAGTGGGAGCGTCAGCCTCTGGGAGGCACGACCTCTTCCAAGGCTGCCTCCACGGTTGCTTCTGTCAGCTGGTAGTGCTATTAGCGAAGCTTAAAGTTTCAGGTTGTTCTTTAATACGTACATGTATAATATGTATTCCAATTTACCAATCACTTCTACTCGCCTGAGAGCAGCGGCTGCAGGCTGTGCACTGGCTTAGAGAAATCTTCATAGAACAGTGAGCAGTAGTGCTACGTGCCCGCCGAGTCATCGGGCGGTCCATTAATGGATCAGATGAACAACTGCGAATCTTTGCAGGACTCAGGCGGTGGCAAGTCATCCCAGCAACTCCAATTGCCATCCTGGTACATTGCCCAAGACTCAGTGGTTCTGTTTTGAAAAATATGATTTTGCTTTCATAACAATGAAGAGATCAAAGAGTAAACCCCAATTCTACTTACCATGTTCTTTTGAATAAGTACAAGTAACATTTTTACATTTGGGTATCATCAGGCTTTGCCAACTACAAGCAAAATTTATGTCTCTTCCATTGCTATAAAATCATATGTTATCCAGCTACCAATTTGTCTCTTTGAGTTAATCTGTCTAGAAAATCAATTTGGTTAGCATTTCTTTTCAAAACAGAAACACTGAGTCTAGGATGAGCTACATGCCATGGCGTTTTCACCTCTGGGTCTCCCTGCCTCCAAAACCTGCCTTCTCCTCACGGTGTCTCTCTGGTCCACAACTTCTTTCCAGTAGCCTCTACCCTCAAATCTACCTTCTCTCTGAGGCTTTTTCTGTCTGCTCCCTCCTGTTGAACACTCTTCTCTCTGCCCTCCAGCAGCTCTTTTTAATTTTTTTTAATTATGGAAAGTATCAATAATATATGAAGGTGAAGTATAACCCCCATACACCTATCATCCACTTCCAAAAACTATCAATTCGTGGTCAGTCTTGTCTCATCTACACGTCACCCCTTCCCAGCCAGGTTAGGTTGAAATTAATTTAATACATAATGTAATTGTAGCTAAATATTTCTGTATTTATTTCTAAAAGATCCCCATTGAAAGATGACTCTTTTTTTTTTTTTCCTTTTTTTTGTCTTTTTTCGTGTCTGGCAACGGATCGCAACCCTC